CTCCCTCCCTCCCTCCTCTCCCTCCCTCCTCCCTCCCTCCCTCCCTTCCCCTCTCCTCCCTCTCTCCCCCTCCCTCTCCCTCTCCCCTTCTCCTCTCCCCCCCCGCCCCTTCCTCTTCCATGTGGTCTCCATGTTGCAAGTTACCTTTGCAAGAGAGAAGGCATTGATCGCGCCAGCTATGTCAACACGAGTCTAAACCCCCACTTACGTAGCCCGTTCTTCGGCCGTCCCCTTGTTTGCGGACTCAAGTACCACGTTGTAATTATGGAATCCGAGTGTAAACAAGGGCATTTGTTTCGTGACTGAACTTATGCATATGTTCAAGGTAAAGTTACGGTTGCGTTCAGTCAGCAAGGGGGTTGGGGGTCTTGGCTGAGGCGAGACGGGGAGAATGGCGGTGATGGGAGGGATAGGTGAGGATAAATGAGGGAAGGAGGGAAGAGGGGAATAACTGTGTGATGAACGAGGGTGATGACTCTTTGTAAGGGGGTTTTGTGAATCTGTTTGTGGGAATATATTTGCGTGTGTGTTTGTGTGTTTATGATTGGGTATAAGAAGGTTCAAATCACATTTAAAAAATCACTTACCGCTAATATTTTAGCGAATTAGTTATTGACAACAGTTAAAAAAACAATCTGGTAAATATGTATATATATATAAAATTGATATTTATTATAATATATATATATATATATATATATATATATATATATATATATATATATATATATATAATATAATGATATTTATAAATATCAATGTGAAATATATCAACTTTTTGTACAACTCTCACAACCTATCGGTTCTCACCGTCAAAAATGAAAAAAAAGTGAAAAAATACAATAAAAAAGCAACACAGATAAAAACCAATTTATAGAGAAGAACGAATAAAAAGAAAAAAAGAAAGAAAGAAAGAAAAAAGGGAAATGCATCAAAACTTCCCACTCTGTTTTCAACAAATACTAAACCTTAATGGAATCCAAAAGTTTTAACAAAGAATTCTGCAGAGTGTATGAAAGCGAGAGTCATCAGCTGAAGAATTTCACTTTTAAAGTCTGAGGAAATTGTTTATTTATTTATTTATTTATTCCTCTGGCTTTTATTAACTTATCTTTCTATTTATCTTTGTTTTCGAAATTCTATCTGAGTTCAATATTTCGAAACATTTCTTTGTTTATTCATTTCATTTATTCATTTTTTTTGTTTATCTATTTATTTATGATTATTATTACTATTTGTTCTATTGCAAATTCTCTCGTGTTTTGTTCAGTCACTTTTATTTATTTCGCGTTTTTTCATCCCTTCTTGTTCTTCTCTCCCTTTCCTACTTCCTTCCTTCCGCTATCTTAAGAAATCCCTTTTATCCCGTCTTCCCATTCCTCCCAAAATTTCACCCACCTCCCATTCCTAACCCATCAATAACAACGTTCTTCAGCCTATTACTGTTTCCAAACGTTTCTCCTTCTTCTTTCTACGTCTCTTCTACCTCCTCTCCCAAACGTTTACACCTCTTCTACTTCCTCTTCCAAACGTTTCCCATGATAAATTTATCTTAACGTTTCCCTTTCTCCTTATTTCAACGTTTCTTCTACCTCCTCTTCCAAACGTTTCCCGTGCTACTATTTTTTTCTAAGTTTCTCTTCCTATTTTCTGCAACGTTTCTTCTACCTCCTCTTCCAAACGTTTCCCATGCTACTTCTTTCTAAACGTTTCTCTTCCTATTTTCTGCAACGTTTGTTCTACCTCCTCTTCCAAACGTTTCCCGTGCTACTTTTTTCTAAGTTTCTCTTCCTATTTTCTGCAACGTTTGTTCTACCTCCTCTTCCAAACGTTTCCCATGCTACTTCTTTCTAAACGTTTCTCTTCCTATTTTCTACTATGTTTCTTCTACCTCCTCTTCCAAACGTTTCCTGTGATACTTCTTTCTAAACGTTTCTATTTCTATTTTTCCAACGTTTCTCTTCCTACTCCTCTTCCAAACGTTTGCAATGCTACTTTTTTTTCAAAATTTCATCTTACTGCCGTTTCCATATTTTTATTCCATTACCTTTTCTAAACGTTTCTCTTATTCCTTATTTCTTTCCTTCTACCTTTCCCAAAAGTTTCTCTTATATTTTATTTCTTAAAGTTTCTCCTGGTACTTATTACAAACGTTAAAAATAAATGAATAAGTAAATAAATAATAAAAGAAAAAAATCTACGTCTCCAAAACGTTTCTTTCACTACTTCTTCCAAACGTTTCACTAAGAAAAGAAAAAAAAAGTTCCTCTTCTAAATGTTTCTTTTCTAAATATTTCGAACGTTTTTCTTCTTCCAAACGTCATTCCAAAATACCCTTTTCCTCCTCCCATCCCCCTTCTTGCCAACACTCTCCCCTCATCCGACCCCCAACCTTTCAGCTACCACCCTCTGTCCCCCACCCCACCCTTACCCTCTCTCCCCTCCCCCCCAGAATAAGTCGTTTCGGTCGTAATATCTCTTTGGCTTTTCACTGAGGTGGTCGTTCTGGAGCGTATGACGTCACTTCGCTTTAGCACAGGAGAAATGGAGAAAACAAATCGAAACATACATAGACATACACGCAAACACACACACATATATATACATATGTGTGTATTTGTGGTATGTGCGTGTGTTTGTGTGTGTGGTGTGTGTGTGTGTGGGTGCGTGTGTGTGTGTGTGTGTGTGTTTGTGTGTATATTATAGTGTATATACATATATATACATATATATGTATATATATATATATATATATAGTATATATTACCTACTTATATATATATATATAATATATATATGTATTATACTACTATATATAATATATTATGGATTAATACTATATATTAACATAAATATATAAATATAATATATATACATAATATATATACATATTATATAACATATATATATATTATATAATATCATATACATATATATATATAATATACGAGGATATCATATAGTACTATAGTATATATATATATATATATATATATAATGCGAGTACATATATATATATATAGATATATATATATATATAATATATGTATGTATATACTAATATGTGTGCTAGTATAGTGATCATTTATATATAGTTATTATATAGTATTAATATATATAGTATCATATATGGATTATTATATATGGACTAGGTAAGTATATAGTGTATAGAGGTAGTATAAATTATATACTATATGAATATTATAGTGTAGTACAATATATATATATAGTAGATATATATATAGGTATGGGCATGTATATAGTATATGAAAGATTCTATTGATATAGTATAGTGTATATATAGGTTAATACAATATAGTATATGAGTGTAGTTATATATATATATAGTATATATCACTATATATAGATATTAGTGCATATATGTAATAGTAATTATATATACATATAGTATATTAGAGTATAGTATTGATATATATATATATATAGGGCACACATCAGCCCCACACAACACACACCGATCGCAACACAGCACACAACACACACACACACACACAACACACACACAGGGGCACACACAAAATATATATATACTATAATATGGATATATTATGAGGGGTAGGTATGGGATTAGTAATATATATATGTGAAGTGAGTTAAGAAAAGAAAAAAAAATAATATAAGTAGTAGTGTGATATATATAAATCGGCATATGAGATGTTAGTATATATACATACTACGTATATATTATATATAAAGTAGGTAGTATAATATATATATAGTATATAAGGTAATGTACGTACAGATAACATACATTATAGTATATAGTAGTAGTAATTTATATTAGATAGTATATTATATAGTATATGATAGATACATATGTAGTATATAGATAATATAATTTTATGTATATATAAATTAAATGTATTTAATAGTTATATTAGTATATATATTATATATATAATATGTACACATATATGTGGTACATATATATATAATTATATATGCACAATGACTCACATATATATAATAAGTAATAGTAGTATACCTGTTAGTAACTATATATTATATAATATATATACCCTATTATATATAGTGCATATATATAGTATATATATATATATATATATATATATAGTATATATATATATATAATATAGTATATATATATGTGGTGTGTGGTGTGTGTGTGTGTGTATATGTATATATATATATATTATATATATATATATATATAGTTATATATAGTATATTGTATAACTATTGTATATTTTATATATATATATTATAGTATATATATATATAATATATATATTAGTATATATATATATATATACTGATGTATAATGTATATACTATACTAGATAATATAGTAAGATATATAGTAATATATATATTATATATATATAGTATTATATCATATATAGGTTACAATATATATAGTATATTAATTATTATTAGTAGTAATATAAGGGGTTGGTATAGTGTATATATATAGGAATAAAAAGTAAGTGGTGTTTGTTTTAAAATAGGTAAGGCTTTGTATAATGTTTTAATGATGGGTATATGGTATATAGGGCCATATACTTATACATACGTATATATATAGAGTATATATTATGTTATATGATATGATAATTAGTATAAGTGTATAGTATATATAGGTATTGATGTATAGTATATATAAGTATATAGTATTAGGTAGTATATAGTAGATATAGGTCATATTATAATGTAATACGGGTTATATTATATATATATATAGGACTATGTATATAGTATGATAGGTAAGAACGATAGATACTAATGTATGAGTATGGTTAGTATAGTAGTATAGCATATATATATAAGATATATATGTAGATAGTTAATAGTATAGTATATATATATATAAGGTTATAGGTAGTAGTTTATGTATATATTAGCATATATATATAACATTACTTGACATAGTATAGTGCAGTTATGGTAGGGGTATATAGTATATAGGTTAGTTATATATATTATATTATATGATACTATAGGGTATAGGTGTGGGTATGATGTGTGAGAGTGAGTATATCTATATATATTCTATATTATATTCGATATAGGTCTTATTATCTACCTATCGTCTCTCTCTCTCAGTTCTCGCGGCTTCTCGGTCTCTGCTGTCTTCTCTCGTCTCTCGTCTCTCATCGTCTGTCTCTGGCTCTCGGTCATCAGTCGATCATCATCTCATCTGTCGTCTCTTCTCTCTATATATATATTAGTAGAATATATGGAATAATATTAGTAATAATAATCAAAGTGATTATACTATATTGGATATATATCAGATTAATAATATATTACTATATATATGAGATTAATCATATTATGTCTATATTATAATATATACTATATAATATATATATATATATATACACTACTATTAATATATATATATTACTATATGATAGTATATATTATATAGTAGTATATTAATATTAAATATATAATATAATTATATATATATATTAATTATATATATATAATTATATATAGTACAATAATATATAATATGATCTATAATTAGATAGTATTATAGGGTATAGTATATATAAATATATAAATGATTATGTTGATAGTGTGTTATATTATATCTAATATACATAATATTAGTAGTAGGTAGATATATTATATATTATATATACGTATAATTAAATAGTTATGTTGTATAATAGTATTATAATATATATATATATATTAATATATATATATATATATTATTCGTATGGTGATGTATGATATACATAGTATATATATATAATTATATATAATACAATAATAATAGGGTGAGAGATATAGTGTATCGTGATATCGTAGATTATATAGTATTAGTATATATATAAGTATAATATGTATAGGGGTAAGCATCTAGTATATATATTAAATACGTAATATATATATAAATTAGTGTATAGGTATATAATATTATATCATTAATATGTAGTGGGTATTAAATTGTATAATATAATATCTGTATGAATAATAAAATTATATATATATTATAGGAGTATAGAATTATATCATATAATATATATACTATATATATATATATATATTGTTGTGTGGTGTGTGTGTGGGTTTGTGTGTGTGTGTGTGTGTGTGTGTGTGTGTATGTATGTATAATATATTAATAAAATGGTGATAATGTATGTAATATATATCATATAATATTATATTAATAGGATGGATGTATGTAGTATATATATATAAGTATAGCCGTGTATATATAGGCTATATATATATAGTATAGTATATATATATATATATATGTGTGTGTGTGTGTGTGTGTGTGTGTGTGTTGTGGTGTGTGTGTGTGTGTGTGTGTGTGTGTGTGTGTGGTGTTCTATGTCCAAATGCATACATCAGAAAATAAACGAACAGATATAAAGGTAAAAACTCAAAGACGTAAGCAATAATGCAGACAGACATGCAGACAGACAGACAGACGGACAGAAAGACGCAAGAGACAGACAGACAGACGGACAGATCACTATCAAGCTTTCTTCTCAAGACATCGACTCTCCTTCTGGAAGTGACCGCGCTTAAACCTCCATTCAACGCTATTCACTTTTACGCGCAAATAAACGTTGTTATGCATCGCGCGAGTGTATAAGCACATCACTGACAACGTTCGCGTGTAAATAAACAGGTGATAACACGTGAGAAACTGTCTTTGCCGCAGTTAAGATGGCGAGGATAACCTTGCTCGTTGCGAATTTGTAAACATGAGAAACTCTTTGTGGACATGAAAAGGATCTGTGTCGAGAGATGACATTGGCAAGCGTGGTGTGTATGAGTGCGAGTATGAATGCGCGTTTTTCTTTTTTTCTTCTTCTTCTTCTTTCTTTCTTTTCTCGTTCTGTTTTGAAAAGGCTATTTTTCTCTTCTTCTTCTTTCTTTCTTTCTTTCTTTTCTCCTTCCGCTTTGAAAAGGTGTTCGTAAATCTAAAGTGCGGGTTGGTCGGATTTATGAACTTGAGTGAAGAGGAGAGGGAGTGAGGCAGTCATGTCTAGGTACGCAAGGTTTAGGAACCTCAGGTTGATTATTTCTATACGCCAACACATAAAACACATAACGCACACTGAGACACACACACACACACACACATATGCTCACGCACACACACACAACACACACCACACACACACACACACACACACACACACACACACACACACATACATATACCACACACACATATGTATGTAAGTATTCATCAATTCGAGCAATTAATGTCGAAAGTGATTTGCTTAACCATTCATCGGTCATAATCACATTTTAAAGCATAGATCTCCTTTTAGAAATATCCACTGCAATTGGCATCTAAAGTGAGTAAGTGAGTGTATGTATATGTGCGCGCGGGTGTGGTGTGTGTGTGTGTGTGTGTGAGAGAGAGAGAGAGAGAGAGAGAGAGAGAGAGAGAGAGAGAGAGAGAGAGAGAGAGAGAGAGAGAGAGAGAGAGAGAGAGAGAGGAGAGAGAGAGAGAGAGAGAGAGAGAGAGAGAGAGAGAGAGAGAGAGAGAGAGAGAGAGAGAGGAGAGAGAGAGAGAGAGAGAGAGAGAGAGAGAGAGAGAGGAGAGCAGAGAGAGAGAGAGAGAAACAGAGGCGACAGGAATGGAACAGAGACAGAGAAAGAGTGAGATAGAGAGAGAGAGAGTGGAGTGAAAGGGA